TCATCATAATATTCCTTTTGATAAAGTTTTAGAATCTTCACCAAAACAAATGGAGAAGTCATTAAATGTGCATATCTATCACGTGCTTTTTCAAAATTACTTTTTGCATTTTCTGTTAAACTGCAGAAGTTATAAACGTTGTCGTATGCTTCATTAATTAAATGATTAGGTAACGAATTAATAGCTTGAAACAGTGTGAATAATGTAACTTCTTTTTCTAAATTCATGTTTCCACCATCATTATGTACTTCAAAATCACAGATGCCATCAACTATGCTCTGGGCAAGTTTATCGTCAATGTTTACATCTTTGTCTTCATTCATTATATTCTTTATTTCTTCGTTCTTCTGTTCAACTCTTACCTTAATATTCAAATCATTTAATATATCATTCACTGTTCTAGTTAATGTTGAATCATAACTTCCACGAATGAATGAGTATGTTTTGATTGGTTCTGTTGCATTCTTGCGAACTCTTGAATCAGCCATAACCACTAATGAACGCTTTGAATCATCCATAGAAGTCATTATGTCAATATCATAATCATTGCAGGAATAACATTTAATCATTCTGTTCGAGGTTGAATAGAAGAAATTAGTGTTGCAATAAATGTGAAGACCTCCTGATGCGGTTTTAACAATAACATCTTTATCCGAAAGTTTTGATAAAATGTCTTTTCTAACTGTTTCTTTAAGTTCATCATTGTATGATTTATTGATATCAACATCTATAATAGTTAAATTTGGAATTTTATTTACTAATAAAGCTATACCAGTTTTCCTTCCTCTTCCTCCATCGTGTTTGAGGTAGTTATGTAAATCAATCTTGTTTTCACCAATTCTTTCGTTGAGGGTTTTAGTTTCTGCCACAACTAATTCCTCAGCTAATGAATCAATAACTTGTTCATCAGAAATGATAAAGTTGCTGTTGTTGTTTGTTGCTGTCATTTATATAGGAATAAAAAAATAAAAATAATTTTAAAACTAACTTTATTCAAAAAATGTAAGACATGAATTTCCTCCTTTTTTTCCCCTGTTGTCAAAATGTCATGTTGTCACTATTTTCAAAAAGATGTTAATTAACCGAGGGACCGAGGGACCCCTCATTTATTCAAAAAATGTAAGACATGAATTTCCTCCTTTTTTTCCCCTGTTGTCAAAATGTCATGTTGTCACTATTTTCAAAAAGATGTTAATTAACCGAGGGACCGAGGGACCGAGGGACCCCTCATTTATTCAAAAAATGTAAGACATGAATTTCCTCCTTTTTTTCCCCTGTTGTCAAAATGTCATGTTGTCACTATTTTCAAAAAGATGTTAATTAACCGAGGGACCGAGGGACCGAGGGACCCCTCATTTATTCAAAAAATGTAAGACATGAATTTCCGCAAATTCTTTCACAAACTTTAGAACGGCATAATTTAAATTTTTATTTTTATCATAAATGATACCCCACAAGCTCAAAATTTACCACGAATCATAACAAGGGAGGAAATGATAAAAATGATGCGAGAACATGTTAAAAATAACAAACCACTAAAACTGAGAAAATGTGGTTATGCAGTAATGATGGAAAGAGAGATGTTGTCAAGAGAAAAATAAAAATTAAATTTGGATTGAGTTTAAAAATTCATCTTTATTAAATTCATCTCTTCCAATCAATTTATTTATTCTATTAAATTCTTTTATTTTTGCTTCACTCAGTTTAAGGATTGAACGGCAAGTTTCTAATTTTTCGATTATTTCTTTATCGTTTTCAACCCCACCACATTGTGGCTTCTTTTTGTAATAGCATATTTTTGATTTAATTCTGTTTAGTTTCTTTTTATATTCATCGTCTGGACTCTTGACTGCTTTGTTGTCACTCATTTCTTACGAAATAAAAAAATTAAATATTATTTAAATATAATGGAGTAATAAAATAAATCGGAATTTCTATTAATTTATTGTCAACTTCAACTAATGCATTGCCGTTAATATATCTAACAAATTCAGCTATTGTGTCAAATCTTCGTCTTCTTTTTGTCATTGATTTATCAGTTTTTCCATAATCGAGATGAATCAAAACTTTATCCCCTTGTTTAAAATTCATGAGCCCCGAATTAATTTGTTCACGTTTAACATCATTCAACCTTTCCATTTGCTTTCTAATATATTCCCATTCTTTTGAAATATCATTTTTCATTTCCACTGGTTTCATGTTAATAGTTCTATGCCATGTATTATTGTAATAATATACTAACTGCTGTATGATGGAGTCATGATTTCCATCCCAGTATATCTGACCGTTAACCCCTAACGCATCTCTAAGAGTTCTCATTACCGCATCAACTATTTTATTATGAAACGTATATGGAGAGGATGAGAAGTAAAAATTAATTTGTGGGAAATAATGAATCATGGCTGCCTGAAATCCTTTATCACCATCACCCCTGATATTATCTACTCTTTCATGATCTAGTAAGTATTGTATAGCTCTTCTTGTTTCCTGTTCTGTTTTCCCTTTCACTGGAATGCAATATAAATATCTAGTGTTAATGTTAATGGCAAATAAATAAGTAATATTTCCTTTTGAATATTCCAGATGATCGATTTCATATGAATAAGGTGAAGGTGCAAATGATGGACGACTAAATTTTTCTTTAATGGTTGAATTTTCGGGTCAATTGGTTTATTTAATATCTTGAAACCCTTTTTAAAATCTTTTTGTTTCTTTAATGTTTGAAATGGATATAATAAAGTGAATGATGAAGGATTAACTGAAGGAGGGAGAGGTACTGTCGTTGGGGTTTTTGGTGTTGCAAGTGGTTTAATTTTATCTGCTTTGATTTTGGATTTCATTCCCCCCTTCATTAATTCTGGATGTATTCTATTCATTTGTTTTAAATATGCTGTATATAAAGGTTTGATATACTTTCCCGCTTCGAGTTTATGTTGAAGGATGAATTCCAAAAGTTGATCTTCATTTAAAAGTCGGGCTGAATATGTTTTAACTAATGAATCATAAATTAAAGCTTGTGCTTCATTTATGAGCTGCTGAACGTCCAAACTTTTCTCTTTTGGCTTTTGCGGCTCGGGATTATATAAATTATATATAATTCATCAATATCTTTTTGTTAATACTTTATTTTTGAAATCTTTCAACTGTTTAAGTTGTGATTTACTTTTTCCCTTTGAATATTTTCCTTCTTTAATGTTCTCTCTTAAACGTTTAATTATTTTATCATGATATTTCAAAACTGCATTTTTATAATACCGATAGTATTCACCCATATCATCACCTGTAATTGTTTCATCATATTTTTGGAGATATGATTTTAATTCATAATAACTAAGAAAATTTTGATTAAATACTAAATCATCAATTAAAATTTTTAAATCTACGCTATTCATTTATATAAAAATAAAATAAATATTTAAGGGTGCCCGCCTCTTTGTCTCTTCTATGGCATTTCATTAAATAAATGGCATACAACATCCATTTTCACAACATACAGCTTTAGTGTGTGCTCCTGTTAATGCAGTCTTACCAATTGTTAAGCGAGTCATTGACTCATTTTTAAGTTGTAAATTAATATTCTGACCATCAAATCACTTTATCATTTATTATATCCAAATAATTTTTAGGTGTTAATTGCTTATTTTGTCTTAAACTAACACCTTTCATTTTTTGTGCTATCTTTTTGAAGGAGTCTTCACCAATCATTCCGTTGAATGATGTATAACACTTAGGGCATAAAGCAACCATGTTATCACCTTGTTTCTCAATTGCTAAACCCAATAACTTCTTCTCATGTGCTTTTTCTTCAGCTTTATTCTTTAATTTAGGTTTAAATTTCTCATCAAAACAGAAGAAATCAAAAGGTGCGAATTTGAAAATGTTTTTATCATAAAATTTTTTATCGGTTACAATCGCTTGAAATGCTTGAGTGTTAGGAAGATTTGGGTCGCCAGCGATTGCCCAATATGATGAATCAGTATCACCTTCAATGAAATGAAAACGATTAACATCCAAGCATTTATACATAAAATCATAAATGAAAACCAAATACCAGTATTTAGCATTATCTAAAGTGAAGAATGCCTCTTGTAAACATGTTTCACATCTATAAAATCTATCTTTGAGCATCACTTGATATGTATCCTCACCTATTTCTCTTATGTTTTTAAACTTATTTGACATACATGCAACGCGTGCCTTGTGCATTCATTATTTTAGTCTTTGCGTAATTTTGTGTATTCATTGCATCGTAACCATATGATCCATTAAGTGAAATTTTGCAAAATAAACTTTTTCCTTTATTTCCTTCTAATTCAGCCTTTTGTCTTTCGTTCATAAATTTGTTCGCAAATTCATTAAAACAAGTGTTTTTCGTAAATGTTAAAATTGATTGAATATCATCGATGATAAAATGAAATCTGTCTATTAGATACCAAAGATAATAAGAAGAAAATGGTTGATATTGGTTGTGTGTTGATGCTAACTGAGTTAATTTTCTCTGTTTCTGGTCAACCGGTAGATTGTTTGATTTCATGTAATTATACATAAAACCACCAATTGTTTTTTCATCTGTGATAATATCTAAGTTTCTTATTATCGGTAAAAAGTTTATGTAATCATTAATGTATTTTTCATCAATGTGACCCTTTACTTCAGCCACGAATAAAGTATTTTTCTTTCTAATAATTCCTAAAGCTTTTGCTTTCTTTGTTGCTGTATCACAAATTAAAACATCTTCTAATCTCCCGGCATATACATTCTATGATCGGTGTATTGAATGAAATCATGAGGATTTGATGAAAATGATGAAGGATATAATGAATTGAAATCAACACCAACGAAATGAGTCATGATGTTGGAAGTGTCCTCATTTGATACTGTTTTAGTTTCTGGACTATATGAAAGTTTATTAATATGGTGATACCTTTAAGATTAACACGATGTTGAACATTTGATAAACCACCAGTAATTCCATTACGGAGGATGTGATACGCTTCCACTGAATCTAAAGTCATTGGTAAATTTTTTTAATGCATAATTTCTTAAATTGATTCTTAAACGTTGAACATCTTCATCTTTATTTGATTTTACGACATTGCAATAACAACACATTAACTGACAATTTTCTTTGGTGTGTGGTTTTTCATTATCGATTCTATCCAATGTTGGTTTATTTGCATATGTAAATGCTTTACCACACATTTTACATTTAGATGAAAGGATTAAATCGTGATAGTATTGATAGTCATCCATTGAAACATTGTTTTTGGTATCTCTTTTCACCTTTTCATCTTGTTTCTTATATGAATCAATTTTATATTTCCAATACTTTTTTGTTAATTCAAAACTTGATTCCACATTTTCTTCTTCTGGATATGTTTCGTTAGGATTGAAGTTCTTATATGCTAACGCGTAACGAATCATTGATGCATTCGATGATAAAGAAAGATTATGAAGCATGTCAATTTTATAAACAAATGTTTCTTCAATAATTTTATCAATTGGGTCAATCATAATTTCAACGTCTTTATTGCAATAATGAATAAAATATTCTAATCTATTCTCAAAATTTTTAGCATCATTGAGATATATTTGATAATCTGAATCGGATATTGTTTCTTGTGTTAATGCTGAATAAAATGAATCTTGAGTGAATGGTTCCTTTTTATATAATTCATCTTCGTAATTCTCCCATGTGATGAATTGATAAGGGAAAAAGGATTTAACACGTGATTTATTGTTTCCGAAATCTTGAGTGAATTGGTCTAATGTTCCACCCGCTATATAATTTCTGATGTCAATAAATCTTAATTCATATGGACAGTTTGTTTTCTTTACTATGACTTGCTTAAATTGAGAAGAAGAACCCAGCATTGATTTTATTTTCCATTTTACAGTATTTAAATCACGAAGAATTAAATTTAAATCAAACTTTCCTGAATTAAAACCAATGATATTCACTTTATTAAATTCTTCATCTAAAAGCTCTTTCATTGCTTCCTTCTGTTTCTCATTTAATGTTTGCGACTTCATTAATTCTTCATATTGTTCAATATTTGATTTAGCAACTAATGAACAGGTTGAAAATAAAAACTCAATCCAATCAGAAATAAAAGAATCACTCGAAGTTAAGCAAAAATTCCTCGTAAATGTTTTATCGTTTAATTTAACCGTTGATGATACCATGAATGGTTTTAAGTAAGCGTTCAAAGTTGCACACTCAGAAAGTTGTAATTCTTCTTTAGTCTCTAATGTTTCGAAGTCAAAAGTAATATAATATCTTGTTGGTTTATAATATTCCTGCAAATTATGAGCTAATAACCACTGATATATCTTCTGTTTCGTGATATGTGGTGCATATGGTTGCTGTGTGTTTTGCAATTGAACGGCTTGAATTAATCTTCCATTATTTTCTTTACATTTCTCACAATGTTTTAAAAATCTTCTTTGGTTTTTCCTTTCTGGATCATCACGGATAGAATATACTTCTTCTTTGCAAAAGGGGCAAACTTTATATCCTGTGAGTGCTTCAACGTCTGTTATTCTGTCAGCGTGAAGTTTTCCACATGGACTCTGTGTTAATAAAATATTTACTGTTTCAAATTCTGGATCTATCATTATTGAATCCACTAATGGGAAGTCTACCTTATTTATGTCTATGTCTTCTGGTTGAGGATCACAATAATAAAAATCAATATTAACGTTTAACATTCTTGCTAACCTCTCACTTTCTGATGAAATGTCAAATCCTTCATATGCATCTATGGCTTCATTTAAATAACTTCTACGAGTTTTAGGATTAACACCATCGGGAATGTTATAGAAGCGTTTAAATAACCTTCTACCTTCTGCTCTAATTTGATTATCATTCATTTTAGCTGTTCCATTTTTGTTCATTTATGTAAGAATAAAAATAAATAAAAATAAAGTTTATTTTTTTAAAGTCCGAGACTCAGAGAGTCCAGGGCTAAAGTCCATAAAATGAATTAAGAACACATAAATTTTTATCATCTGCGACGTGACGAATACATTTTAATTTAGCTCTGACGTACCTGATACATTAAATCTAATTCCTGTCTTATTTAATTTCACAACTTTGAAAAGGAATGTATGAATAGCTATAAATGATGAGATGATGTTTTATGGGTTGCTTCCTTTTTTCTGAAATAAATGTAAATATAATGCTTATACGTTTTCATATCTTTTATATTCTTAATAACGAATGGTATAGACCTTTCAACTTCATCTTCCTTCGGTGCTGTTCTTTCATATGAACATTATTGTATCTTCAATAATGAAACACAATCACATAAAATTTTATAGGTTCCAATTGTTTCTTGATATTTTATCTAACAAATTCAAAAACTTTAACACCTGTACATTTATTTAAATAATAATTTGTGTAAATATCATGGTCTTCTTTCTTAATCGTATTTGTTGCATATGTTACATTTTTCAGTGCTTTTTTGAATTTTTCAGAATCAAGAGGAGGTGAAAGTAATATACATGGATAATCTCCATCGTCAATAAATTGTAACTTATGTTTACGTATAAATTTAGTACCTTCTTCTGAAAGTGTTTCATCTATTTCGCCATCTAATAAATTTTGTGTTGATTCCAAAAAGTAATTTTTATATCTTTCTTCATGAGATTTCTGAACTGCTGATTCTGAAGCTGGGATATTCATTAAACCCTCTACTTCATTTTCAACTTCTCTTAATTCCTTAATTTTTTCATCTATTTCATCTCTTATTTTTTCCAGTTTTTCAATTTCATCGTTATAATATTCATCTTGTTTAATTTTTTCTTCAAAATATTCAGGAGGTGTTTCAAGGCTCTCTGAGCCCAGGTCCTCTGGACCATAAAGAGGAATATTCTCCTGTTTTTCAACTTTTTTGGGAATAAATATCTCATTATAGCCTTTTTAGTAATTGGTCCGTTATATTTAAATTCATTCAACAATCTGGAAAACTCTTTCACATTCTGCATATATGTTGGATAAGAACCGTCTCCAAAATTTTCTAAAATATTTTCTAATTCTGAATTAGTGAAATTTAAAGATTTCAATGAATTAGTTGTTATACTCATTTATTATAAAATAAAAGATGAAAAAAATAAATTTAACTTAGTTTTAATTTTACGTAAGAAGTCAATTTTTTATTAATGGTAATATAGGAATTGTAAGAATAAAAACTTTTCATAAATGTAAGACATGAATTTCCTCCTTTTTTCCCCCCTGTTGTCAAAATGTCATGTTGTCACTATTTTCAAAAAGATGTTAATTAACCGAGGGACCGAGGGACCGAGGGACCCCTCATTTATTCAAAAAATGTAAGACATGAATTTTTAAAGTTTATTTTTTAAAAAAATTATTTTTTTATTTCATTATGTATGGGCTGAGTGTAAATGTCTTACAATTTTGAAAATTTTTTAAATCTTGATTTATTCAAAAACGTAAGAATAAAAACCGTAAGAATCATACATTTTTTACTTCATATGTTAAAAAAAATGATACAAAATCGTTCAATATTGTATGAATTCTTACGTTTACAAAAAAAGTCACAAACCCCGCATATATATACTACTTTCCATGGAATTGCCGTTTAAAAATTAATATGTAATCAAAAAAGAAGAATATCATAAGTTACGTGATATTGTGGTGATTTTCCTGCTAGTTTTCCATTAAAAATCTTTTTAAGATGTAATTTTTTGAAATTTCATAATAAATTGCATTTATTTCTGCACATAATATTTTCTCATCCAATTTATAATGTGAAAACGAACTCAAAATCATCAGATATGAATAAATCATATAATTTGACATTATCGTTTTTAATTCAATTTTTATCTTAGTTATTATTAACTAGAATACTATTTTAAACCTAATCATCAAAAATTTTTGTTCACAAAATTTTCTGAGTCCGGACCCCAAATTTTGAGACTACTATAGATCATAGTTTTCGTTTAACGTGACAAGAATTTGTTCTTGGTGGACTTTGGTAAAGACTGATATCATGTAAGCATTTGTTGTCAGCGTTATCAATTTGGATCTCAAATTTTGTCTTGACAAAAATTTCCATTATTCTTTCCGTTTATCAAATCATCTAACAAAATCCGAAAAAATTTGGACAACAATTACAGTATATTGTTCAATTTTTTTCAAATAATCTAATAAAAAAATTCAATGTCAATACCTTCTCAATTTAAAATTTTTTGATGCTTCTTGGTTCTGATCACTCGATCCCTGCCGTGAAGCTTGTCATTCTCGGTAATTCTGGAGTAGGTAAAACATCGCTTATTAATCAATGGATAAATGGATCAAATCTACAAAATCCGAAACCAACCATTGGAGCCGTCAACCATATGCAGCGTCTTACCTACGACGATCAAGACGTAGACTTATTTATTTGGGATACTGCCGGCCAAGAACAGTTCTCCTCTCTTGCGCCTCTTTATGTTCGTTCTACAAACGTTGGTATAGTTGTAGCAGATATTTCAGATAAAGAATCATTCAATGAAGTCGATAAATGGGTTGATATTGTACGAACAGAAAATCCAACACTTCCTCCTCTTGTTTTAGCAATCAATAAGATAGATTTAGACAGCAAAGTTTATTCGGAATCAGACGTCATTACTAGATTCACACAGCAGTTTGCAAAAATCTTTTTTGTTTCCGCAACTACTGGATATAAAGTTGATCAATTATTTACAGAAGCAGGACGTTTAGGAACTAATTTCGTTCTGTCTTTTAATAGTAATTCGAATCATATTGTTGTTGGAAATCCAAAACAAAATCAAAAATCCGGTTGTTGTTAATTTTGTTTTTAATATTAATAAAATATACTTCTATCCATATATTAATTACTCTACAAGCATTTCTTTTCAATACGATCATTTTATAATGGAAATGAAATTCATCTTAAAATGATTGAATTGATCATCGAAAAGTTGTTATATCAAGGCTGTAGTATCACATTTTTATTAATATACCTCCAAATTGTTAAATAAGAATTGAACAATTTCATATTCAAGCATAATTAATAAAATCATGATATAAAAAGCTTACTTATGTGATATAACTAGCGATTCAAATATGAAAGGTTGAGGACAGTTGAGTTGGCTTTTTTTATAAACTAATCCGTTCCAAAACAGAAAAATCATTAAAAATTGAATAGGAAACGGAAATAAATTTAAACCATCGTAATTTCGTTATTATTTATAATTATTGTAGAATCATATTAAAATAGATTTTGCATTTAAAGATATTTTGTAAATAAAGTTTGTTTACAATTACAATGAGCGGGAAAATTCGGAAGCAAAGCATAGATAATAAGTCTGTAATAGTTGTTCGACATCATCACCATGTTAGACCACCTCAAGTAGAAGTTGATAATCTAGATGATGATGAAAGAATTCCACTTAAAAGCAGCCCGATTCATTCTCGATCACATGTAGTGCTTATGGATGGACGAAGTTACCAGCCGAGACATATACGAGAAAGAAGACAACGAAATTCAGATAATGCAGACGAAAATAATAAACAGCCATCAAGATCAAATTCATCAAATCTTTCAGAGTTATCTGAATCGAAAAGCAAAGATAATTTTTCACATAAAGAAGTACCACCTGTTAAGCCGCCGCCATCAAGTGGCTTGGTTGACACTATAAAATTAAATAATTTTTTGTTATTTAATACACCTACCGAAGCTCCTCCACTTAAAGTAGTGAACGGGCTTGAAAAATCTACAAGGGAAATAAAATTTAAGGAAACTCCTACTAAAAAACAAGAAGAAGAGAAAAATAATACTAAAAAAGAAAAGGAACAAGAATCCAAAATTACAGCCGCCCCACAACTCCTCCTTGCACTTGATGATGACGGTGCCGTACAAGAGCAAGCTCCTCAACCAAAAAGAAGACATCGCCATCATAGAAAGAGCAACTCAAGTGCAAAACAGCCAGAAAAGGAACAACAGCAACCAGTTAAGCACGAACATCGTCACCGTCGCCGCCACGGTAGCGAAAATAAAGAAACAGAGAAAAAAGTCGATGAATCTTCAAAAAAGGCAAAAGAAAGTGAACAGAAGCAATTAAATGGAGATTCTAAATCTGTGAGAAGAAGACATCATATAGGAAGCCGCTCAAAATCAACTCCAAAATTCGATTTAAATCCACAGAACGTGGCCGAGAACCAACAACCGCCAAACGATAAAGAATCGATTCCAAATGAGAAAAGAATGCAAAGAAAAGGTTCTTCGGAAATTCCAAAAATTATTCCGATTGAAAAGGCCGAAAACGATTCAAAGTTAAGATCAGATGATAAGCCATCATCCTCTAAAGAATCGAAGCAATCATCAAGCAAAGAAGAGAAAATTTCCAAATCTGAAAAATCTTCTAAATCCGAATCGAAATCGAAGGAAGAAAAGTCATCTAAGTCCGATATACAACCAAAGGTTTCCAAAGGAGACTCAGAAACCAAAAAAGTTGATTTTGAAAAAAGAGATTCTTCGTCAAGCCCTAAAAACAGCAAATCTTCCGACTTTGAGTTCCAAAGTAAGGATAATTCTAAGCCTTCGAAACCCGAAACAGCAAAGAAATCTGATACCGAGAAATTATCAGAAAAAGTAACAGAAAGTACGTCATCGGACTCAAAGGGAAAGAAAGTTGTACTTCCTTTACCTCCAGAAGAAGTCTCTGAACAAAAACTTTCCGATAATAACACAAGTAGTGTAATGATTGAGGTTCTCGAGCTCCCTAAGCCTCCGAAATCATTACTACCTGAACCCCCAATTGATATTACACGTGATGCTGCAATGCCACTGGCTACTTTTATGCCAGAAACGATTGATACTCCAGGACTTGCAAAAGATGAGAAAGAACCATCAAAACAGGAAGATACAGACTGGCAAAAGCCAATTTCTGGTTGGTTCTCCTTCCAAATCGGTGCAATTCCTGAACCAGATGATAATGAACTGGAAGACAGCGCAAATGCGAAATTTGATTTTAATACTTTGATTACTCAAGCAAAGTCTTTATAATTATTTAGTTTTGGCACAAAAATCAGATGATTTCAATGCTGTATTTGATTTCATTTGAATTTGTGCTTATTTTGTTAGAATAAATAACCTATATAAATAATTTATTTGATAAGTATTTCTAAAATTTACATATTTTGGCAAGATATTTCATAAAAACTTTATTATTCAAAAAATTAATGGCTTTAGCTAAAATCCCTTCAAAAATTTTTAACACATACTAAGGCATTTAATATTGGCATTTATTTGAAAAATTAATTTTTTGAGTTTAAACTCCACATGCAAGCATGACAACAGAATGTTATATCATAAAAATTATAATTATCTTATTTAAAGTTCCTTAAACAGAATATTGGGTTTGAATTGATCGAGATTTAGCTGAAGTAATGGTCAAAATGAAATATATCCAATGAATTTACTAAATCCTATGCCTATATTTGCTATATTTGCAATAAAAATAGTTGATTTGTTTGTCCATATAAAAAATAAAAAACGTAAATTTTCTCAAATTTTCAATGACATCAAGGGCATCAGCCTTATCTACAAAGCCAAAAAGCCCATCAAATGATGCAGGTGCAAGAATTTCATCAATTGAATCAAGAAGAATTCTTGCAGTTCTTCAAGATACTGCATCTCGCGTTGATTTCTCTTTAATCCTTTCTTCTTTAGATGATTATTTGGATGGGAAATTTGATGCACCTCAAGAAGTTGTAGCAGCGCATAATGAATTCATTACAGACCAAAAAGCTTTACTATCAGTAATGACAGCTGACGGAGATCCAAAACCTGGCTGTCAACAAGACTTTGAGGAGCTAAGAGAGATCTATAAAGAAGCTTCTCGAAGTCTAATTCGCGTTTTAAGAATTCATTCAGATTATTTCGAACCATTATTAGCTCAAGTTACAAGTAGTGGTGGAGCTACAGTTAAAATGACGTCAATGTTCAAAGACCTTAATTCGATGGAAGTTTTGCGCTTTTCTACACCCGTCGAAATTGAGGAAAAACAAAATCGTCTTGTAAATGATATTAAACTACGCAAGAAAACAAATAAAGAACTCATAGATCAACTCAAAGTACGTGATTCTAAAACAAGTCGTGAAAGAGATCAACTTGTTCGTGAAAAAGAAGAACAATACGATGCTGTCAAGCAATTATTGATGCAGGCGAAGGCTACAGAGAGTTCATTACCTGTTGATGATGCTCCTCTTGAAGATGAGAAAAACTCTGAAGAAGCAATTCGAATGAAACTTGGCGCAAAAAAGGAGAAAGCAGGGAAAACTCAAAAAACAGATAATGAAGAAGAAGGAAAACTGAGAAGAGCACTCAGAAAGGAGGAAGAGGCTTTGCAAAACCTTATACAGAAATATGATACAGATATGAAGAGCTTACTTGAGCAAAATAAAGAATCTAAAGTAACTGCAGAAAATTTAGAAAAAGAATTAAAAGAACTTCAAAAAGAAGTTGACGCGATCAATAAAATAAGGAATCCTATGAAGAGTGATGAAGGTGCTCAGAGTCAAAGAAGCCTTGCAGCAAATAAATTGTATCAAGATATGATTTCTTCATCTTTGAGGCTACAGCTTGAAATAAGAAAATTCCTGAAGACTGCTCCACGAGCTTCGAAGAAAAAGAAAGGAAAATCTGGAAGAGTTTCAAGGAAATAATTTTTGTTATTTTTTTCTAATTATACATTGTGCAATGGTTGCAGCTTTGTATAATTTTTTATTGTTAGATTTATAAATAAAGATATTTGTTAGCATGATAATTCAAAAAAAAAAGCAATAAAATTTGTAAAATTAAGATGTTTACCTTTAAATGTTTAAAGGATTTGTGCAAAAATTAAACCCGATGGACTTTCTAATGGGAAATGAAAGGTCAGCATGCTGGCCAATCAAAATTAGAAAAATTCCATTTGTGGGTCAAATTCAATATCGAAATCCTGATCCTCAAAAGCGGCGATTTCTTCAAAGAATGCATCCGCATTAGGATCAGAGATTTCCTCAGAAATCTGAGTAATCAGACCGTAGTTCTGAATTGGAGGAATCTTCTGAATCAGGGGATCCGCTTTTGGGGAGGCTTGGGGTTGGACTTGTGGTTGGGATTGATAAATTACCTGTGGCGAAGGAATTGTTTGGCATTGTCTCATTGGTTGACTCGCCAACATATTGGCTGTGCATTGAGGAAGTCGCTGAAGCATCAAACCCAATTGTTTTAAATTTTCATGTTGTCTCTTTCTTATTCTTCTTTTCTTCCAGTCTGGGGTATCAATATCCCTTACAACTGGTGGTTGTCCATCCTTGAAGAAGAAGATGCGGCGGAGTCCGTTTCTATGCTTGTGATTGGCGTTCGCTGAGCTGCTCATGCAATGGAAAAAAATAATTCACGGTTTTGATTCAATTTCGAAGACTCTAAATTCTCAATTCTTTTGAATGAAAAAACGTTTGTTATATAGTTTATTTTTGATATTTTATCCATAGGAAAATAATGGCTATATATAGCACTATATTTGATGTAAACTTCAGAAAAGAAATAATTGAATATTTTTAAAGCACTTTTTTTTCCTTGGCTTATCCTATGGTATGCATAGTGTTGCAATGTATCATCAAATACCACCAATATTGGTCGCTTCTGTCATACCGATTTTAAAAAAATCTCAGGTTTCTACCATTAGCAGCTCATAAAAATTTTTAGATAATTTTTGTGTTGCGCTATAAAATTGAATTTTGGAAAAAATTGAATTGTGTAGATTTTTTTCCCATGTCCGATCAAATTATTCACCTAAAAGAATACACTGAATTAGGAAGTATCTACAAATGTCATATCGATATTTATATTGTGTTGTATTAGGATTGCAAATTTGGGAAAAAAAAACATTTTATGTTTTCACTCTTTAGATTACCAATTTTATAAACATTTGTAAATGAAATTGTTTTGATTTCTTCCTTTTCTTTTGCATTATAAAGAATATTCAATACCTTTCGAAATATTGTAAATTTCATCAATATCAATTAAAGTTAGATATAGTGATTATAGAAATAATTTAATTATTTATCATACAAGCATATTTATCTTATGAACAAGCATTACATATCATATAAATCTTATCAACGAATGAATATTCATATAATAGACTTATTCATAAAGGCGACGGAATTTATGAATAGGGTACCCTATTTATGAACGGTTAGAATTTGGAAAAACCGTCGCAAGTATGAAAACCCTAAATATGGAAAAACCGTCAAAAGTATGAACAGGTAGGTGATCGGAATCTTCATATTTTTTATTTGGAATTTCCAAACAAAAGTTATTTCGAAATTCCAATCAATTTGGAATTTATAAACTCCAATGCTTATTCATAAATAAGTTGACAAGTGTGGATAACCCTTTATTTGTCAAATGGAAAAAGAAATCAGAAATAAGAATATTCATGAATATGTTAAGATATAAGTATAAGTCTTCTTCAATAATTACAGAAATTATTCATGTGTATTTGCATTTAGTCTAAAAATTAATTAAATCTAAATTAATTTAGAAGATTTTTTAGAAAAAAGTGAAAAACAATAGCATATAGTATAGGGATTATTTCTAATTTCCATACATAATTGATTATTAGATTCTTGTTTCGAAATTCCAAATTGATTGGAATTTCGAAATAACTTTTGTTTGGAAATTCCAAATAAAAAATATGAAGATTCCGATCACCTACCTGTTCATACTTTTGACGGTTTTTCCATATTTAGGGTTTTCATACTTGCGACGGTTTTTCCAAATTCTAACCGTTCATAAATAGGGTACCCTATTCATAAATTCCGTCGCCTTTATGAATAAGTCTAATCTTTTAACTTCCAGAAAATCTTCCAAAAAAAAGGTAACTAAACTCCTTTCGCCGATCCGATTTGCCCCATATTTAAAATATAGCTTGCATATGTAGAAGAAAAGCTAATTTTGAAGTACGCCCGAAATCCACCAACAGGATTTCGAGCTACTAAAAAGGTAGTTTTAAATGTGATTTTTTGATATAAAAAATTAAATTTATTTTAAGATCAGACTAAAAACTAATTTTATGGAAAATCTATATCGACAAATTTATTACTTATTGGGTATATAGATTTTTTGATTATGGCGATTATGTCTGATATGCTTCCAATAAGCCAAAACAGTGTTTTGGGAGTGATTAAATACAAAAAATCCGGCGATGCTTTACGTGGCAAATGGTCGAATGGTTATTACCCCATACTATTGGGTACCCGGGACGCTAGTTCGAAACTGATGCACTATATTTTTTTACAAAATGCGTTTATTAGGACAGGGTAAAGAAAGGTTGCCAATATAATATATTTAAATAAATACAACTAATCTAGCATAAAAAAACTATTGAATATTTGAATTCAATAAAAATTTATATAAAATACATGTAAAGCATAAATTACTATATAAACGTAGAATCTGAATATCATATCAGAAAATGTCGCAAATCTGACATTTACCCGACCAAATAGCAAAAATAATTGAATACTTTTCGCAAAAACTTTAAAAATCGATAAAAATATGAAATATAGATATTAAAGAGACTTTTTATATAATATTCATAAAGATTTTCCAAAAATATGATACCGCAAAATTAAAAAAGTGACGTCTTGAGTGGAGTCAAAGGTCGAAATTGCTAGCTAAATGTTTTTTAGCGAAATTGCGTATTGTACGTTTTTTTCGCAAAACGAAACCCTTATTACAAGATAATTAAAATATATGACCTCATTATAAATGAATTTTAACTCTAGATAATTGAGAAAGCTACAAATTGTTTCTAAATCTTGAAATTATTCGATGTCAATCTAATTTTTCTTGTTATAGCCTACTTCTATGGTGTACAGGTTGTCATAATTACTATTTTAAAGTGTAAAACATGCTTATATCAATCAGGACGTTAAAATGGAAAAGTACATACCAAGCAAATGTTTGGATTTATATGCGACAGCCTTTTTAATGGATGTGACAAAGCGTTTCAATATAGATTTTGATTAAAGCATAACTGCAAATTATAATTTGACTTTATATGTACCAATAATAATGGCAATTATGAGTTTTTTTATATAAATTATATCACACCGCTTCTAGTAATTTTTAGCTTAAGCATATCATCGGCTAATTTTCAAAAAAAAAGAATTTCAAATTTTAATCCAAATTCTTTTCTTAAAATTCACAATCAAATTACAGCTTATCTTTAATAGTCTTATTCATTATATGCTTTTTTTTCGGCTCCATAAAAGTCATAAATTTTTCCATCATAAATTTGTTAGAAATTGGGTTACCATTGCCAAACATTTGGATAGAAAAAGCCCAATAAATTATACCCAAAGCATCCAAACATGAAGATATCATATAAGAAATATAGTTTAATTCAGTAATTCCCTAAAATCTAAAATGTTTAAGAACGTTTGTTCAATATCTTACAATCTAATTCACAGATTTAGCATATGTACTACGTATCAAATATACAATGTGATCTCTCAATAAGCTTAGAAGGTTAATTATTAAAATTAAATAAAATTCTACAATTAGCGAAAAATAATACGGCAGATAATATGCTTATAGGTAAAGAAATTCAAAGAGCATTCCTTAAATTTTTTCGAAATTTATCAAAACTCGAAGGTAAATCATCGAGTGATATGCGAAAAAAACTTTTTTATTCTATTAATGATAATAAATATATTAGCCATATTAAAACTTTTCATTTTTTAAAACTCATAGAACTACGTTTGATATTCTTCATTAAGAACATATAAAAACGAGTATAATTATCATAATCTGTTAATTTACAATATAAATGCTTTTCTGCTTGTAGTAAATATCAAATAAGAAAATAATAACATTATAAATTTTTCAAATAAGAATATATTATCTAGCATCTAAGCATGAAGATATTTAGAATTTGGATATCTAAATTCTGCTTAGATTACTTTCAAAATATAAGTCAATAATCTTTGATTTTATTAAACGCTAATATTGGATAGTATATTTTCACAATTTAATTGTAGTTAGATAAATGATAATTCATGTAACTCATTGATTTCGATCAAAAGTTATATTCACCTTGTTAAAAAAAATATAAAAAATAAAAAAACTGGGTGCTTACTGATTTGAACATATTGCCTTTGAACTCCACGACATAACCAGTAGGCTAAACGTACGGTGATTTTTTTTATAAATTCTAGTATAAAATACTTCCCGCAGGGCATTTGTTTAATTATTTCACATTCTGATGACATAATTTTTAATATCATAGATAATGAAAGCGAAAAATATATAAAAATCGACAAACATGTTATAATGAATTGAGAGCTTTACGTGTCAAAAAACACATTTCATACTGATTTCTATAAAAGGTATCTTTATTATAGAAGTGTAAGCTATATCTGTTTGTTTTTTTATTATAACAAATTCAAAATTCTCTTATAAGGACTAGATGAAATCTGTATTATTAAATCATTAGCTAAATGAAGGTTCAAATAGAAAGTAAATATCAATTTATATGATACTGAAACCAAATAGTTCTTTTAATAAAAGATAACACGCTGAAAATTATTGAGTATTTGCAAATCTCAAAAATCTATTGGTGAATTTGGCTCAACTTTTAAAATTATAACATCCATATCAAATCATAAAAGCAGACAAAAATTAAAGCCAAACCTATCGGCCAATTTTTTTTGATATTTTGATTTTTGAGGTATACTTTTAAAAGTGGATTTAAAGCACTGATGAAAAAACATTAACTTCTGTCGTTATGATTATTGATTTAGACAATAATGATTTTAATCTTTGATTATCAAAACACTAAAGTCATCTTTTTAACATTTGCTTGGTAGCATTAACTCAAGTCTAAAGTACTATTTTATGTGGCACTCTTAGAATTTTTGTATTCATTGTACACGCTGAAATAGTACCATTAAAGTTATGGCGGACTTTCAAAAAATAGTTTGGTCACCTTTTCCAAAAATGAATTTTTTATCTTCCAAATTTATGCTGCGCTTCCAAATTTGCAACCCTAGTTGTATCAGTTAAAAACGGAAAATGAAGAAGAATTAAACGAGAGAGGGTCAAAGTTGCTATTTGTCACTTTTCCACAAGAATATAATGGGGAAAAAGTTATCATATAGTTGATCTCATTCACTGAGGTGAGAGATGCATGTAGTGTAATTTGATAAACAGTGGGATTGCTGCTCTAAGTCCTAGGTTCGAGACACATTGGCTTCATTTTTCTCTTTTTTATTGACGTAAACTATTCAATTTTTGTGTTCTCCATTCAAATTTCAGAATTTTTTTTGCAGATTTCACGCTACATTCGAAGTTACCTTTTGTAACAACCACCACTGCCTACGAAAGACGAAAGTGTGTCACGATTTCACCCGGAAATCCGACGGTTGTTTAAGAGTATGCACTTTTGTCACCTACTCGAATTAAACTCGATTTACAAAATTATTAAAACAGAACTGATTGATTCAAGGAATTATCACCCGGTTCGTATTGTAAAAGATATTTTGGGTATCATTCCGTTCAATAACCGCTTTACAAACTCATATTTGACTCTTGGCAAATTCATTTATGATGAATATCATTTAACACAGTACTACGATATTGATTTTCTTTCGGACTTGCTGTTTTATAAAAAATATGGAATTAAATTAAAAAGACCTGTTAACAATGTAATTACATTCAAAAATCTCGATATTCATAAAGAAAATGACATTTGCAGTGCAATTATGAATAATGACCTAGAAAAATTCATCTTTTTTACGGAAAGAGAGGGATTTAATAAAGATCAAAGAATTTTAAGCAGTTTATATCCATTTAATTGTGCATATTCATTGCTTGAATTATGTTGTTACCATAGAGCAGTTGATTGTTTCAAGTTATTTAGATCGAAATTCAGCTCAGAAATAACTCTTACATGTTTACATTTTTCTTTTTTAGGGGGGATCAAACTAAGGATGTTAACAATTGTTTTATTTACTCGCCGATATTTAATTTTAAATCCTTTTGCGAATATCTGCTTTCTCTTGGTGCAAATATCAATGAAAAAGATAATAATTGGAAAACCGCTCTTGATAATGCAGTAAAAAATAATAGCAATGAAACAGCTGAGCTTCTTATTTCACATTGTGCAAATATCAAAGAAAAAAATAGACAAGGAGGAACTGCCCTTCATATTGCAGTAATAAATAATAGCAAAGAAACTGCTGAAATTCTTATTTCACATGGTGTAAATATCAATGAAAGAGATGTTTTGTGATAAGATTTTATAGGCCTTTTTTTATTTTGATAAAATCTTCTAAAAACATTTTCATCTCTACTTGTTGCGAAAGATACTGAAAAACTTTAACTGACTCTAATCCATATGCAACTATAAATGGATTTAATTCTTTTGGAATTGAATCTTTAATAACAATACCGAATTCATTTACAAGATACTTTAAAATATGAATCGAATCATTAACAATGCATTTCATTATTTGATTGTTTGGATCTTTTGGCTTTATATTCAATATATTTTGATTATATTCTAATAGTAATTGGAAAAGTGATAAGCAATCATGTTTAAAAACCATTGATATTGGAGGAGATAACTTAAAATTTCTTAAAATTTGAGCTGGAAGATATTTTTTGATAGGAAAAGTTATCAAAGACGATGGATTGGCATTCACAAAGTATAATATTGCCCTTGAGTTAATATACTTTATTGAAACTTCCAAATAATTATTGGATTTAATATGTATAGAGTATTTTTCTTCTATCCAGTCAGCAATATCATTCCTATGAGACTGAATAGCATTTTCATATGCAACATCGAATTCGGTGGAGTTTGACTCGCAAATCTTGATGATTTCTAGATTTCCTCCGATTACTGAATAAGCAAAATCAAATATATCTATTTTATGGTAATCATTCAAAAGTGCAAACTTAAAGCAGTTGATTGCACCGCTTTTAAGAATCCAATTAATTAAATTATTGCTAATAAATGATTTGGTGTTTTCTGGCTTCATGCAATATTGCCTAAATGATTCAATATCATCATTGATAAAACATTTTATATCTGGAGGTAAATTCGTAAAATCATCTATAATTCTTGAAAATTTTGGATCAATAGTTTCTGATAATCTAGCCAATTTGATAATAGCATCAATACTAGGGAGTCTTCTAGTTAGTATACGTTTCAGAGACTTGATGATATAATTATAATCTTTGTGATCTTGAATGAATTGTTTTACCTTTATGAAAACGTCTTCAATGTTGGAATTGTTTATATTCCACATGAAATCTTCGATTTCTATTAAGTCAGTAAGGGTTTGAGGAACAGATTGTTGAAGAATTTTTAAAGTTTAATGAAATCACCCGAAATGAATAGTATTCTATTCAAATTTATTCAACAATATTTCAGTCCATTTGCTTCAATTGGAAATAAATTGAAAAAAATTGTTAAATATTTAATAATTCCTTGCATAGCACTTATTTTTCCACAATTCAGTAAAAACAACAATGTTTTAAGATCTTATTATCTTATTATTAGAACTTTTGATTAAAATCAACAAGAAATTTTACATTTCTTCTCGAAGTTTGTACACCTAAATACATTAATTAAGTTAAGTGGGAAAATGATGAAAAATTTTATACAGGGAAGAGTGGGTGCTTAATTTATATTGTATATATCGTGGCCGACCGAAACATAGGTCGCCTCCGCAGGACGATGTAAAAAGTTATTTTTTTTATATCAAAACTTTTTGGGTTCAACAGCCCTTGTATAAAAAATTTGAAGATAATATATACTTTTTTTTTATTCATCTTTTCCTCCGTATTGAAGGAAGAATTTATGAAGGTTGGGGAACTTCATTGACTTTGCCAAACTCATTGGTGTTTCACCTTTAGCATTTGGCAAATTAGGATTTCCGCCATGTTTAACAAGAAAAGCAGCAGCTTTACTTTGTTTGTTCATTATAGCAATATGAACAGGAGTATTTAATTCATTATCCTGAGCATTTGGATCTGCACCTTTATTAAACAACAACATTGTAGAATCATACATTTCATATTGGCAAGTAAAATGCAAAGGAGTTTTTCCTTCTTTATTCTTTGCATTTACATTGCACCCTTTATCAACAAGATACGAAACAACATCACCTCTCTTGAAATACGAATCTTTTATTGATTTAATCAAAGGAGTATTTCCATTAAAATCTGTTGTTTCCAAGTCAGGATTAAATTCCATCATCATTTCCAACAATGGAATTTCCGCGCGAGATACTGCATGTTGGAAAGGAGTTTCTCCACGATTATTGTCTTTTTTATTGATATCTGCTCCATGTTTAAGTAATATCCTTGCTTCATGGATATTTCCGCATCCTGCTGCTTCAGACAAAGGAGAATATTCATCAGATAAATTCGGATCAGCACCATTTTCCAAAAGAAAATTAATAAACCAATAACTACTTGTTCTTGCTGCCAAATTCATCGCCGTTTCTTCTTTGTCATTTATGTAATTTACATCTATATGATGTTCTTTAAGTAGATAAGTGGCAATCTTCATAGATCCGCTCATTGCGCAGTCAAATGAAATGAACAGGAAGATCCTTCTTATCAAAATGGTTGAAGACATATTTATAGACTTCAAATGAGTCTGGCAAAATCAAATTCTTTAAAATATGTCCGTCAAATGATAAATCTGAGGGATCGAACTCCATTCCATGATCTAGAAGGATTTTGATAAGAGAAACATTGTCTGATTGCTCTGCTTGCTCAAGAAGCTCACGATTTGTTGGTTTTTGCTGTTGGCAGAAATATTCATAAATTTCTGGAACTTGGATGTATCCGTAGTAAATGAAAGCGTTGGTCTTAGACTTGGCATGGCATAACGAGTAGAGAAACATCTTCAAATTGTAGTTTCTAGCAATAAATGGAATTAATCCGTTTAAATCGAGTTCGTAGTCTTTTTGGATGTCGAGGAATAGCTGGAAGTTGTGCGAAACGATGATGTTCTCAAGAGTTGATGCCTCGAAATGGCCCATCAATTCACGATAAATTTTCGCGTTTCTACCGAGAATGGCGAAATTTAACGTTTCTGTAGTTGGTTCGCAGACTTTGGAAAACTCTTTGAAGCATTTTTCGGAGCCAAATCTTGCAGACCAGTCGATGAGTTTGTAATCTTCCCATTCATCCTAGTCTTCTTCTTCGGCGGCGTTTTTCTCGATGAATTTCTTGATGGTTTTGCTTTTGTCTTCCATGATTGAATGAATTATACCGGATTTAGGATAATGAGAGAAACATTCGGAAAATGATGGAATTGGTAACTCATCGCTTTGATATTTCTTGATAAGGCCATATTCTCTGTAATAAGCTTTCTTTAAATCCGATTCAAGATTGATACATGAAATTAAGTAATCAAATTCATAACGAATTAGTTGAAATAGCGTCCAATATTGATATAAGTATTGTGGATAATTGATGCTGGCATGATCGATCATCTTCTGGTAGTAGTTTGGGTGAATATTATATTTTTTCATTGCAGTTTTAACTTTGTTAAAAAGTTTTGCAATATCGCATTCACCTATATCAAAGATCATTTCCTCAATTTCGATAAGATCTGCGTATTTAGCGCATAATTTATCAAAATCCATGTAAATGGTCACAAAAAATTGACTAAAGCTCCTTTTTATCTATTCAATTTTTTCACAGTTGTAAAAAAATCTCTCAAAAACTATAGAACTCCTCTCGACAGCTGCAGATTAAATTGGGAATTCGTTGTGTTGCAAAATATCACAATTAAAGTATTAAAATTGTTGTTCCTAAAGTAAAAATTTAATAATTAGTAATAATTATCATATAAACATCGATAAATGCAGACGAAAGTCTATATGAAAGTATGTATTTATAGTTGTATTGCTTTATTATATAATTTTTCTCAGTTTTGTAAAAAATACAAGCATATCATATTTTTGTATGCATTTAGAGAAATATAACGATTACTTTTAAATTGTTTGCTTATTTATTAGCATTTAATTATGTATGAATTCATAAATTCCATATTTTCACTATTGATTAAAATAAAATGGTATAAAATCCTTTTCTAAAGTTTATAACACATGCACGAGCATGATTCCAAACTTAAAACCCAAGATTAGTTATTTCTTGCGAACAGTCATCCATATGGATGTGTACAATTTAAATTTTAAAAAAGGATTAAAAAAATTAAAAGTATATGATTTTATAGCAGCTTTCATTTCACTTTCTGTCATCCATTTAGAAAATTTATGGTGCAAGTAACATTGCCATAGCTTTAAATAATTAATTGATTACTTGGCTCCAATAGACAATAGATAATCCTTTGTTTGGCCATTTGAAAGTGAAAGCGCGGTTTTTCCATTTTTAGTCTTTGCTTTTATATCAGCACCAATTGAGATAAGATATTTAACAACTTCAAGTTTACCATTACTTGATGCCAAAATGAGTGGGGTAAATCCATATTTATCCTTTGCTTCTTTATAAGCTCCTGCAGAGATTAGATATATAACAACTTCAAGTCGACCTAATCTTGATGCAATCATGAGTGCGGTTTCTTCATTATTACTCTTTGTTTCTTTATTAGCTCCAACTGAGATAAGATATTTAACAACTTCGTGTCTGCCATCTCTTGATGCAATCATGAGTGCAGTCATTCCATCTTTATCCTTTGCTTCTTTATCAGCTCCAATAGAGATAAGATATTTGACAATTTCAAGTTTATTATTCCATGATGCATCAATGAGTGGAGTCCATCCATTATTAGCCTTTGATTCTTTATTAGCTCCAACTGATACAAGATATTTAACAACTTCAAGTTGACCATTTTCTGATGCATAATTTAGTGGAGTCTTTCCATATTTATTCTTTGTTTCTTTATTAGCTCCAGAAGCGATAAGACATTTAACAACTTCAAGATGACCAAGTTGTGATGCATAAATGAGTGAACTCCATCCATCTTTTTGCTTTGCTTCTTTATTAGCTCCAATAGAAATAAGATATTGAACAACTTCAAGATGACCATCTCTTGATGCATAAATGAGTGGAGTCAATCCATCTGTGTCCATTGATTCTTTATTACATCCACTTTCGATAAGTGATTTTACAAGCTTGACATTTCCTTTTTCACATGCCATTTGAAGTACATTTTTATCAAACTTTGATTTCCTTTCACAAAGTCCTTCTTGATATGATTTTGACATCATTTCTCGATTGCCTTCAGCAGAAAGTTCTTCAAGGAAATTATAAATAGAGTCAAAATCATTAGATACTTTAAGGGTGCACCCGTATGTACGTTTATTTGAGAGGAGGAGGATTACCCTCTCAATTTTGAGGGATTCGTTAGTTTATTTTCTCGATGAATATGCAATAAAATTTGATTTTTACCTTATCAATATACTTCATATAATATACACATGTTCATGTAAAATCTTTTTTCCAAAATCCTCAGGAATTAAGGGATTTTTGAATTTTAAGGGTTGACCGACGTCCATTCAATTTTTGAGAGGGTATTCAAAATTTATTGATATTATGTATCAAATATCTCGTTATCTATGATTTTTTTAAACATGCTTGTTTCAGATTATGTTTTAGCATAATGAGAAGTATGGAATGAGAATGAAATTTCGGTCAATAAACTGTTCTATAAAAGTTTCAAAAATTTTCGATTTTTTTTTCGATTGGAAAAATTTTTTATGGAGAAATTTTTTACAGACATACTTTGGAATTTTTAGATAAAAATAGTGATATATCATGCATTATTGTACCTTTGATATAATGCAACAGATAAATCAGAAAAATAATGAGGTCGAAAAAACTCAAAAACGTTGACCGACCTCTTTTTATCAAAACACCGCTACACATCATAGATCATTTTGCAACAGCGCTCCTCCGCTGATTCGATATATTTAATAAATTAGCAAAAAAAGAATAAATCGTACAATTCGAATAGTAAAATAGAAAGAATGAATATTAGCAATTGTGTTTTTGATGATTAAATGTTTGAAAAACATAATATGAATAGGGATGCGACGGTTTTACGCCATGACCGTTTAAAAATAGAATAATACGCCATTTTTGGGGCCGAATGGCGGGTACGAAGTAGCCGCCATTCGGCCGAATAACAAAACAATACAAAATTATAGCCGTCCTTTTTTTTCTTTCTTTCTCTTTTTTTTTTCTCTCTCTCTCTTTCTTTTCTCTTTCCTCTTTTTACTCCTCTTTCTCTTTTCATCATTAAACGTAGAAAGATATATTAATATTATTTTAAAATTAAAAAAAATAAAGAAAGTATAATAAGTAATTATTTAGTTATCGATATATATATGTAAAGTGATAATCTGAGGATAATCTGAGGATAATCTGAGGAGGAGTCTGAGGATTAGACCGAGGAGTAGTTTGAGGAGTTTGATGATAATCTGAGGAGTTTGAGGAGTAGTCTGAGGAGTTTGAGGAGTAGTCTGAGGAGTTTGAGGATAATCTGAGGAGTTTGAGGATAATCTGAGGAGTTGTCTGAGGAGTAGTTTCAGGAGTTGTCTGAGGAGTTTGAGGAGTAGTCTGAGGAGTTTGAGGATAATCTGAGGAGGAGTCTGAGGATTAGACCGAGGAGTAGTCTGAGGAGTTTGGGGATAATCTGAGGGGGAGTCTGAGGATAATCTGAGGAGTTTGAGGATAATCTGAGGAGTTTGAGGATAATCTGAGGAGGAGTCTGAGGATTAGACCGAGGAGTAGTCTGAGGAGTTTGAGGATAATCTGAGGAGTTTGAGGATAATCTGAGGAGGAGTCTGAGGATTAGACTGAGGAGTTTGAGGAGTAGTCTGAGGATAATCTGAGGAGTTTGAGGAGTAGTTTGAGGATAATCTGAGGAGTAGTCTGAGGATAATCTGAGGAGTTTGAGGATAATCTGAGCATAATCTGAGGAGTTTGAGGATAATCTGAGGAGTAGTCTGAGGATAATCTGAGGAGTTTGAGGATAATCTGAGCATAATCTGAGGAGTTTGAGGATAATCTGAGCAGAATCTGAGGAGGAGTCTGAGGATTAGACTGAGGAGTAGTTTGAGGATAATCTGAGGAGGAGTCTGCGGATAATCTGAGGAGTAGTTTCAGGAGTAGTCTGAGGACTAGTCTCAGGACTAGTCTGATGAGGAGGACTCTAAGGAGTAGTCTGAAGAGTAGTCTCAGGAGGAAGATCTGAGGAGGAGTCTTATGAGGAAGATCTGAGGAGTAGTCTGATGAGGAGGGGTCTAAGGAGTAGTCTGAGGATGATGAGTAATCTGATAAGGAGTAGTCTGAGGATGATCTGAGGATAACCTGATGACTAGTCTAGGAGTGGTCTAATAAAAATGTAAAATATTTTCAAAGAAAAAATTCTATGAATTTTATATTTTAATTCTTAGCATTATACTGAATAAAATAAACATAAATATCAAAATTTGAAATTGAACACGCCAAAAAATTGATAATCCACATTCAATATTTTGTAAGTGGCGTACTTTTTGAATACTCGCCATACGCCTTGGAGTTCTCAATTTTGAATTCGCCTTTATTTGGGCGACCTCAGAAAAATACGCCATTAAGAAAATATTGTATGAGATTTTAAATTTGAACACGCTCTACCTTAAGGAATTAAATTTATTAAGATATATTTATATATAATAAACGATTACTTAAAAAAAGTATTTCATCGCTTATGTAAGTTTCAAAAAAATGAGATATAAAAATTGCTCACATTTGCTCACATTTTGGCACTTTTTTGTACGTTTGTCAAAAAATTGTGAGGAAGATCTCACAAAAATAGTCAAAATGTGAGCAAATTTTGAGAAGTGCTCACATTTTGACATACGATTATTTTCATACGTTTTTTTGATGAATTCTAATAAAACTTCATTACCACTTTCAGAACGAAGCGTAACTTTTCAGCACGTAACGCTCTATCATGTGTAGTGACATATTATTCAAAAAAACTCAGATTGCTTATCTTATAATAACAATTTCATTAGAAAAAATGCACGATTTCACGCTAAAACTTTGAAGCAATTCTTAAATTCGGATAAAAAATCGATATGTATTACACTTTAAACTTCAAAAAATGGTTCAAAATTTAGACTTAGTTTATCTTAACAATATAGCAGATTTTAAGCCGAACAAGTAGGAGTAATAGAAATAGCTCTTGAAAATAATTACAATTAGTAATATGTAAGTCAAAGTTCGAGTATTCTAATAAATAAACGTTCCGGATTTTCTTTACTACAAGAATCAATACTTAATATATAGAAGCAACAGTAAAAACTTATTAGAGATTCAAAAAGAAAGTTGACTAAAGAGAATCTTTTTATATAAGTAATTTTATTTTTTTGAAATACGAGATCGAATAAACATATATTTTATTTTATTACTATAATAATACGTTTTTACATAGTAAGAAAGTTTAGAGACTGAAATGAAATTAAAAATTGAGAAAAAAATAAAGCTTTTCTATAAAAATTCATATTAATATATAGTATAATGATATTACAATTTATTGATCAAATAAAAAGAATATTTGTTGAATAATTTCTGTTCAAATTAAAAGTTCTTCAACTTACGGTAAATCTATCTGCCTTAAAAAGTATTACGATATTATGCAAAGTCAATTTTCTCCAAAAAAATATTTGAAGATGATACTTTAAGTATACCAAAAATACAAGAATTTTGAGAGAACTCAATGAATTTTTGTGAAGGTGGAGTTAAATTGAGAAGATTTTTGGTCAGAGAAAAACAAAAATTACTATCTGATAAAATGGTATTAAAATGAAAAAAGTTTAAACAAAGGAAATGAAGAATTTATATTATATTAGAATTTAAAGAGTAAATATAAAAGATTGAAAGAAAGAATAATAATAGGATTCTTGAATGCAACATTTGGAATGATGTTTCCAGTTGTAGATGTGTTAAGCAAAGAGAGATAATGATAGTTTCTTGAGTTTTGAGTTAAGCTTGTTGTAGATGAGAGAGAAATTTTGACGAGACTGAGGAACTTCATTTGGAATGATGTTTCCAGTTGTAGATGTGTTAAGCAAAGAGAGATAATGATAGTTTCTTGAGTTTTTGCAATTAACCATCCTCAATGACTATTGTTTTAATATAATTTTTAAATTTTTTAAAACTGACATTTTAGTTGTATATTTTTTCTAACAAAGGTACATTCACTAGGCGATAACAGTAAAATGGGATGAAAATATGATAAATAGCATCCCTATATAGTGCCAAACAATATTTATACGGGCCAAAAAAATTGGCTAGAGATTTGGCGAGTTATAAAACTTAGAAAATTGAGAGGGATTTTTATTTTTGAATTTTTTTTGGAAAGTTAAAATTGCGATTAAAAATCGATTTCCAGGAGAACTAAGCATCTCATCATATATTTAAATCGATAAAAATATTAAATAATAGTTGAATAGTATAACAACGTGAAATTATGGCTGAATCTACAGAAAAATGAACATATTTGACATTTTTGAAAATTCATACGTTAGATGGTGACAGACTCATAAACTATACTTTAGCTAAGATTGATATATGGTTTCAACAACACATGGTTAAAATTGTAAAAATATTTTAGATTTCAAAAAGATATATATGGTAATATAATGGAACAAAGTCAACAAATAGCATGTTAAATATGTTATAATTAACTTTTTATTAGATCCAATAGTAGATATCGAATGGTTTCCAGCTTTATGGTTAAATATTTTCTTTTCGAGCTTCTCTTTAACTGTTGTATTAAGGTTGTAAATTTTTGATGCTAGAAACTATGGAATCTTCTTTGCTGCTGCATTTTTCTTGAGAGTTCTTGCAATTTCGAATAGATCTGCGCATTGTATGAAATTGAGGCTTTAAAATATCTTGAAAACAGAATAGGACTGCTTTTCCAAAGGAATGCTTACTTGTAAATCAGAGAGTTTCAAAATTGAGAGCAAGATTATCATCATAACTTTCGATTTTGCTGCGAAAAAGGAAGACAAGTAATTAACAAATCATTTACTGTTGTTCATTAAAAGAAGAAAACTTTGATAACAACTAATGATGATAAAATCAAGCTATCTTTTAATATTTTAAATTGATAAGACATTCAAAATATTTGAATGGTTTAAAATATTTTCTTTTAATTTCTATAAGATATTATCATGATTATATAATAAAATTTAAATTTTTATTCAAAAAGGCAATATTTCAAACTTTTAATTTCAAAAATCTTAATTCTGCAATAAGTGTATTTAATTGTAGCAAATTTAATGATCCTTCGTCATGCTTAGCAATTTGGAACTCATAAATTAATGATTTCTTCAAGTAAAATTCTGCATTATTTCAAAAGTCAATAATTCTCTAGTAACTTTTCTTCAAACCCTAACCATTATATTATATGTATAATGGAGAATAATTGCAAAGAAAGATAGCCGAATTTACTGGGTAGTTCTTGTGATGCGAAATAATTGCAAATTAACACCTAGTTTTAACAGCATCAATCTCTTTTTGCTCTCATTTAAATGCATTCGCACACTTTAATTTTGAAATATAAGAGTTTTGGAAATTATCAAATTTATCTGCTCAAATACTATAGATCTTCATAAGTGTTAATAGAATCATTAGCCTTACATATAGTGTTTAATATAATGATGCACATCATACTGGGATTTATTCCTTATTCATCTAGTTATTATAAGATTTACAACCCCATGAAAATTTAAAATTTTGTCAAAAATAGTGAATGTACCTTTTTTCTAACACAACTATCAATAAATTGTAATATCATTATACTATATATTAATATGAATTTTTATAGAAAAGCTTTATTTTTTTCTCAATTTTTAATTTCATTTCAGTCTCTAAACTTTCTTACTATGTAAAAACGTATTATTATAGTAATAAAATAAAATATATGTTTATTCGATCTCGTATTTCAAAAAAATAAAATTACTTATATAAAAAGATTCTCTTTAGTCAACTTTCTTTTTGAATCTCTAATAAGTTTTTACTGTTGCTTCTATATATTAAGTATTGATTCTTGTAGTAAAGAAAATCCGGAACGTTTATTTATTAGAATACTCGAACTTTGACTTACATATTACTAATTGTAATTATTTTCAAGAGCTATTTCTATTACTCCTACTTGTTCGGCTTAAAATCTGCTATATTGTTAAGATAAACTAAGTCTAAATTTTGAACCATTTTTTGAAGTTTAAAGTGTAATACATATCGATTTTTTATCCGAATTTAAGAATTGCTTCAAAGTTTTAGCGTGAAATCGTGCATTTTTTCTAATGAAATTGTTATTATAAGATAAGCAATCTGAGTTTTTTTGAATAATATGTCACTACACATGATAGAGCGTTACGTGCTGAAAAGTTACGCTTCGTTCTGAAAGTGGTAATGAAGTTTTATTAGAATTCATCAAAAAAACGTATGAAAATAATCGTATGTCAAAATGTGAGCACTTCTCAAAATTTGCTCACATTTTGACTATTTTTGTGAGATCTTCCTCACAATTTTTTGACAAACGTACAAAAAAAGTGCCAAAATGTGAGCAAATGTGAGCAATTTTTATATCTCAAAAAAATCACGAAAATAAAAAAATCAAGATTAAAATTTTATTTTTAATTTTTGAATTTCTCAAATGGCGAAATTTTTGGGCGAACAAAAAAAATGTACGCCCGGTCAAATGGCGTGTTTAACGCATCCCTAAATATGAAAATAAATTTTTTGTTGATTTTTTTCTATAAAAATTTTCTTTCTTTTTAAAAAACTCCTCCATTTTGGAATGTTGACAGGATTACAAACGGCAAAAAGAATTAATTATTGCTAAATATATTATTGTGCCTAGGGCTGTACAAGATTTAAAAAAACATTGCCGGGTTACCGTAGAGGCCTAAAAAAATCGCGCCTCGGCGGCAAGCCGCCTCGGCATTAAGAATGCGCATCTAAATTTTTATATGTCCTTCTTTCTTTT